ATTCTATCACATCATCGAGCCTCTTCTCCACCATCACCTCATGATAGACGACCAACAAAGTGGTAAACATTGTAAAATACATGTTTTCTTTTGTACTTTAGTTTAATGCTATCACTCTATTCACTATCACACTTTCAGTTTACTGCTAGGTGTTATTACTATTTTCAGAAGAGGCGTGGGGTCTGCTAAATTGCTAATAAGCTTCATTGAACTTGTCTTAAACTGTATTTATACGATCTGAAATTGGAGATCTCATTTTGTTGTAATCTTTGTTATTGTTTATCTATGTGGTTCCTTACACTATAAATTACTTGAATTTCAGGTCTTGCATGGTGCAAAAAGGGGAGAAAAAGCTGCCCTACTGCTTTCGCCATTGAAGCCTTTTTTGTATGAAGTATTTAAACCTACTTTCCTTCCCGTTTCATTCCACTTCGCTTCCCCCAAATTCCACAGAAGTTTCTCCTCTTCTTATGTTCCCTAAAATTTACCTAACACTTTATGCTATTTTAGGTTCAATTAAGTGGATTTCTACAAGCCCTCTTTGCCCTCTCTGCTTCAACTTTCACTTTACGTCTTCGATGGTTTCTTCTTTGACGAGCTCCGTTTCTGGGTAGAGAAAATCTTACCACTTTGATTTTCCCCATTTTCAGTTATCTGATTATGTTCTATCATGTATTATTTCTCTTTTTTATTTTATTTTATTGATTCAGTCTTTTTATACATAACTAATCGATCTTTTGAATTGGGTTATTTGATCTGCTTATGTAGATTAGAATTTTCACTTTTTGTTGTGGAATGATTGTTACGGAAAGATATAGATTATGTTAATAATTATAACATCTTAGAATTAAAGGGTTGGAGATTATAAAGGTTTAATTAAGAATCTGACGAATATTGAAACATTTTAAGTTATTAACTTGGAATGAATTTTCTTATATTTGAAGAATTTGAATGGCTTTCTTTTATTTTGTTACAAATATTGGTTCTTAGTAGCTTCATTTTTGCTCCTTCGTTTCCCCCTGCACCATGGACTGATCTGCAGCATTTTTCTCTGATTATGTGAAAAATAGAATTATGATAAATCTTGTCGGGTTGGGGTCTGGTTTACCTTTAATTTTTGGAATCATGTTCGAAACAGGTAAATTAATATTAATTCGGATTCAAATAGTGATAGGGTATATATAATAGAACACTAATTTTGAGTGTGGTTTAAGTGTCGAAGCCCTTATTTTTGTGGAAATATGCCTTTTTTTTCTTCAGTCTAAACCTACAGTTTGCTTTATGGGTTTGTTGAAACTTGATTTTTAGAGGCAGGTTTTAGTTTTGTGATATCTGCGTGAGTTTTGTGCAAAAATGAATTTTGTGAATTTTTTGGGTTTAAATTTTGATTCAAAAAATAGTAATGAAGAGACGTAAAGATGATGACAAGATCATGGGGCCTATGTTCCCTAGGCTTCATGTTAATGATACAGAGAAAGGAGGGCCAAGAGCTCCTCCAAGGAATAAGATGGCCCTTTATAAGCAGCTTAGTATTCATTCTCAGAGGTTTAACCCTGGAGTCTTGCCTCATAACCCTAACAATTCAAGCAGCTGGGTTCCTACTGGTTCAAGCCAGGTATTTTACTGCAGTTTATATGTCTTTGTTGTTCTTATTGGTTAAAGGTGTATTATTTTTCTATTTATGTTTGAATAGCGTATATGTTTTGTGCTTTCTACTGAAGTTTTGGTTTGGCTATATGCTTTGTTTGAATAGCATATATGTTTTGTGCTTTCTGTTGCTTGTGAATTGCTTTGGGTATGTCGCTTGCACTAGAGTGGACTGGAGCTCGGTAAGATTGATGGTGCCAGGGATGTCCAAGCTTCTGTGGGATGTCCTCTTTAGCTTCTGTGGTTTGCGTCTCTTTAGCCAATGTTGGGGATGATCCCTGTTTAAATACTTCTTGATTCCTCTACTTCACTTGGAGGCTTTGTTTTTGGATATGTTTGGGATGCGTTCTGCAGCTTTAGCCCTTCGTTTCGGCTTAATTATGGTCTCCATGGGTGTGTGGCTGTTATTATGAGTGGAAGATTATTTTTAGTGCTTATCTATAGGAGTGGATTTACCCAACTGTACGTGCACTCTTTTTATTTCACTTAGGTTTAGTGTGGTTTTTTAACGAGGCTCTTATTGTTGTGGTGTGTTTTATATGACTATTAAGGCTGATATCAAATACGCAGGAAAAAAAAGTATAAAAACAGTTTTAGAACTAAAATGTCTATTACTCACTAATGGCTTGTAAATTATTGTTGTTGGTCTGATTTAATTCAATTTTTGAACCTTTTAAATTCTTATCTAAATAGTTACTCATGTGGAATTATGTTGGTGACATTTTGGCTTTTAAAGTTAGAAATTTACCCATAATTAATAATGTTGACATCATTTAGGTATAAATGCTTGACGATGATATTTCTGGTAGTATAGTTACTTTTAACCTTGTAAAACCTTAACTATAAGATCTTAGAGCATTTATTCCAACATAAATTTATTTTGTTTAGTTGATTTTGTTGTAGTTTTAATGTTTGCAAGTGTAATAAAATTAACTTCATTTATAATTTTTTATTTTAGTATTTGTAATGTTATCCAAGTTTCAAATCTTTAATAAGTTTATCATTTCAACTAATATCTTTTTATTTTAAAATTTTAAATTAAGTTATATTTAAATTATTAATCAATTTTCACATTAAAAGTAAATTATATTTATGAATATTTTAACTCAATTTATATAATTTAATAAAATAATGTCAATAAGTCAATATTTAAATTTAATTTAGTGATTATAAATAAAATTTATAATATAAGAATTATAAAGAATAAAGAATTGAATTAATATAAAAATCAGATTATAATATACAAATTATAATAAGAATTATAAAAATATAAAGAATTGTAATTAATATAAAAACTAAATTTAATTATCATAAGTTTATTATAAATTTAAAACATAATATATTAATTGTAAATTATTACATATAAGTCAGGATAATATCAGATCACTTTAACATGTCAAATCATTTACAAGTTGAGTCAATTACAGGTCATGTGCATAAAGGTCAGGTTGAAAACAGGTCGAGTAATACCATTGTTTACCCAGGTCATATCAGTCGGATGCAGTTCGGGTTCGGGTATCATATTTTCGGTTCTATTCGGGTTCAGATCGTTCTCAGGTCGGGTTCAGATCCATAATTTCCAGGTCCAACTCGGGTTCAGGTAAACATCAGTTCCAACTCAAGTCGGTTTTGGATCGTCACAGCGCAGGTCAAAAACAATTTTAACTCGAGTCGATTTCAGTCAATTTTACAGGTCGGGTCAATTTTTTAAACCCCTATTTGGGGTGGGGGGGGGGGGGTTTGTCCTATATTTGATGCTTATTCTGGTTCTATCGCGGTAAGTGCTATTGTTTGGATCATCTCCTAACTTTTTGGTTTCCCAATAAAGATTGCCTTTAGCAGAAGGGAAAGCAGTATTTTTGTCAAGGATAAATATTTATATTTTTCATTAGAAATAGGTTATACCTTTTAACTTATTCTTATAAATATATTATATGATGTGGATCGAGAAATAGATACAACAAAGATTAAGTGGATCTCGTGATTGATATGGACGATGAGACGGAAATTATTTTAATCTTGCTAATTGTTGAACGTGAATGGTTTTAGATTTTATATCTGCAGTGAATCGCGAAACGGGAATAAAAATGAAAATTCTTGACAAGGATACGTGCAGGAGTAACATCCTTACACATGCTCTAATTCACATCCCCATATATATAGTAATTATCTGTTCAAAAAAAATTATAATCATCGGTATTGAATGTACTATACAGATATAATTATTCGAACTCATGATGTCAAGAGAAAATAATATTTCCTTTAATCGTCGAAATCACTTTAATTAATAATTTTAAATGCTTGTTTTAGATTATTCTAGGAACCATGCGTTTATAGTATTGAATGCTCTCTTAAGTTTCACCATATTCAGAAACAAATGGCCGCATTCCAAATGAAGGCGTATTTGAAATTGAACTTAAATTCTCATTGGTCCTTTGCTTCAATATCAAACTTGAAAGCTATCATTTTCTTTAAAGCACGCAACACATTTCAATAATCAATATTATCATATTTTTTTTGTATAAATAACGTTATTCATGTTCTAGAAATCGTGGACTATTTTCTTTTTAGAATACCTTTAATTGGTGCTTGTATAATTCTGTAATTTTACAAGCATGTTCTAGAAATCATGGACTATTTTCTTTTTAGAATACTTTAATAGGTGCTTGTATAATTCTGTAATTTCACAAAAAAATCCCATAGTTTTTCTTAGTAGTTCATTTTTTTTAAATGATTATATGGCATTATCTATTTAGAATTTTCTTTTTATATGATTGATAATGTATACATTCTGCATACATATTTAATTGAACTTAAAATTTCTAATAAAAATAATATTCTCTATTATCATGAAACCACTTGAAAGATTTATTTTATATTCATTATTGCATGAAATAAGTTGGGTTGCGCAAAGATTGGACATTATAACGATCTAATTGTTATCATGAAACCACTTTATAGATTTATTTTATATTCATGATTGCATGAAACAAGTTGGGTTGTACAAAGATTGGACATTGTAACAGTCTAATCGTTGCCTCGATTTATTGTAGCTATCTTGGCCTCTGTATAATTTGCCACCTTTCTACTACACGTACGTAATGGGAACTAAGAAAAGGCTGATTCTGCATGACCAAAAAAAGTACAGCATTGAACAACAAGAAGACTGAACTACAAAGAAAATATTACATCATAACAATAGCTCAAAAGAAAATAGAACATGAGCTGAAAATTGCTCTTATTTAGGTGTTGAATACTTATCTACCAATCAATATAGTGGCTTAGTTCTTAGGAGGTTCATGAATTGGTGGTTTAGGTTCATACACTGGAGGTTTCTTTGGAGGTTCATGAACTGGTGGCTTAGGTTCATAGACTGGAGGTTTCTTTGGAGGTTCATGAACTGGTGGTTTAGGTTCATACACTGGAGGTTTCTTTAGAGGTTCATGAACTGGTGGCTTAGGTTCATATACTAGAGGTCTCTTCGGATGTTCATGAACTGGTGGCTTAGGTTCATACACTGGAGGTTTCTTCGGAGGTTCATGAACTGGTGGCTTAGGTTCATACACCGGAGGTTTCTTTGGAGGTTCATGAACTGGTGGCTTAGGTTCATACATTGGAGGTCTCTTTGGAGGTTCATGAACTGGTGGCTTAGGTTCATACACTGGAGGTCTCTTCGGATATTCATGAACTGGCGGCTTAGGTTCATAGACTGGAGGTTTCTTCGGAGGTTCATGAACTGGTGGCTTAGGTTCATACACTGGAGGTTTCTTTGGAGGTTCATGAACTGGCGGCTTAGGTTCATAAACTGGAGGTTTCTTCGGAGGTTCATGAACTGGTGGCTTAGGTTCATACACTGGAGGTTTCTTTGGAGGTTCATGAACTGGTGGCTTAGGTTCATACATTGGAGGTCTCTTCGGAGGTTCATGAACTGGTGGCTTAGGTTCATAGACCGGAGGTTTCTTCGGAGGTTCATGAACTGGTGGCTTAGGTTCATACACCGGAGGTTTCTTTGGAGGTTCATAGACAGGAGGCTTGTATGGCTTAGGCTCGGGCTTTTCCTTCTTTGGTGGGTTGTAAATTGGTGTTGGCTTAACCTCTGGCGGTTTGTGAACCGGAGCCGGTGGTTTCCCATAATTGGGTGACTCGTACGTACCAAGGGAGGGAACGGTGAGAGCCACCACTCCCAGGAGCAATACTACCAAGTTTGTAAAACCCATCTTTCAACTCTCTCTTCCGATGTTGCAGCACTAGCAAGATTGGTCTTTTTATAGTGGAAAACGAGCGTTATTAGTCTGTGTCGAAGTTTCATTTGTTTCAATAATTTTCCAAGTGGACATGCTTGATTGTCAGTTTTTATTCATTCATAAACGTTATAGGGTCTATTTAGGCACCCACTTAGTTAAAAATTTGGACTATCGACATATGGCCTTCTCCATCGTTATAGAAAGATTATACGAGTGTGATTTTAGCAGCTGTATTTGCTTCTTTCTACAAGACTCCGTTTGCCCCTGGTTTTTAATAAACTTAAGTAAATGGGTTTAAAATTTACAGCCATTATGTTGATGTATAAATTTTATATATCACTTAATAGTATGATGACACATTATTAAACTTAAATTTTGAAAACAATTTTAAAATTTCATGATAATATATATTATAACATTATTTATCTCACTGAAAATATATAAAATTATACATTATTAGTGTATCAATTATTAATCTAATCTTATTTTAAAATTCATCTTCCCTATTGGTGGAAGTTTTGGCAATCCTGTGGCAACATGCACACATTTGATTTGGTTCATTTTAAGATGTTTTGGGTTTAAACCATTTTTGATGTTTTTAGGTTAGATCATATGAGTTTGTAGAGGTCTTGTTTATATGTTATAATTATTTTGGAGGTTACGATACTCCTGTATCTGAAGGATATAGATCTTAATTAAGAGATAGCTGTTAGTTTTCGGAAGTGAGCTCCAGACACACAACGCTTCTCGTTATCCTTGAATAAAAGCCAAAGCTGAAGACTCGACACTATTCAAGGTAATTCAATGGTTGAATTGATAGAAAATTACTTTGTATTGAAGAGTAGCTAAACTGTTTGGTGAACAATTACTTGAAATGGTATTATTTATTTCCTTTTCATTGTAATAGTAATTAATCCTATTTACTGTATTTTAATGGCACCATAAAGTATTTCAAAACTTTGATTGCAATTGGGAAGTTCAAATTGTACTGAAGTTACTTGTACTATGCGTTTTTTTTCGTAGATTTAATCCTTTGTTCCATTGAGAAAGGATAGAATTTGATCCATATGAATCTTGTCTTCAAGAAAATACTGTCTTCTTTTCATGGCAGATTTGGTAGAACTAATTCTGAAGAAAAAAGAGCCCTGAACACTGGTCAATAGTTCGATGAACCAGTATGATTCATATGGATTCCGGTAGCTATTAAGAAGTTGAGCAATTGACTCGGTTCAGCTGTTCAAGGGATTGCAAGTTGTGCATTCTATTTTGATAACAGTTTCTTGTTAAAGGTTCTGGCCCATTGCTTCATGATGGGTCAAACTTGTAGTATTGACTCAGAGGAATATATGGGCTATATAAATTGAAGAAGAGTAAGGGGTCAAATCATGTATCTTGTTGCCCATAAAATTCTTCTAATCACCCAGCTCAGTTAATAGAGTACAAATTTTTTAATCTTGGGGTCGTGAGATTAAATCCCACGGAAGTCATTTCATAATTCAAAAGTAATTACTCTCAACGTTGGGACAACCTACTATCCTATCTCCTTTTACTCCTATTACATATGGAAATAACTCCATTACATATGAGAATAATGGACAGCTAATTTAATGGATTTATTCACTGTATTGATTAGCGTCATTGAGATTTTTTATGCTATTAATCCTTTGTGTGATCGTTCTGTGCAGTGTATTCTCTTTACCTTCTCTCTTACTCTTTTACCTTTCATTCTTCATCTGCCTTCTGTTTTTTTTTTCAACTTGCTTCTATCTGGGTTCTTCAAAATGGTATCATTCGCTGATGGTCCAGGTGACTGTGGGAAGTTCGTATGATGCGTTCTCTTTATCTTTGCTTCGATCTCTGTGGTTCTTGGCTCAATCATGGTGGGTAGTGACAGTGCAAATGGTTCGGTAGTTACAAGAAAATCTGAATCAATGTTTGGTAACAAATATGTTAAGATTCGCCTTGATGACTCTAATTTCCTTCTAGGGAAGCAGCAAGTGTTGTTCATGGTTCGTGATTATGAACTGGAGCATTTCTTAGATGGATCTGTGTTTGTTCTTTCACAAATGATTGTTGATGAATGTGATGAACTGGTGGTTAATCTTGCATATAGTCAATACATGAAGCAAGATAACTCCCTAGAATCATGGTTTTTATTGACCATCAGCCCTTCGATCTTGCCTCAGTTGGTTGGAGCAGAGACTACGGCTCAGATATGGAGCACAATTCTTAAACTGTATTCTAAACTTACCACTACAAAAATAATGAGTTTGCATTATAGGTTAAGGTCTCTTAAAAAAGAGATATATCGATTCGTGAGTTTGTTACTCAAATCAAGGAGATCTGTGATCTTTTATCAACAAGTGGGACTCTGGTGTCAGAGGTAGAATAGATTGTTACTCTTGTCAATAGAGTGTTGTTTAAGTTTAAACCATTGTCGCAGTTATTACTGTGAGACATGAACCATATACATTTGACACTATAACGTCTGTTCTTATTGATGCAGAATCTCATGTTAAGGATTCGACTAGGTTACTTGTCGGCACCAACATGAAAAGGCATGACCGCGGATGAGGATATGGAAACAATAAAGCTAGAGGTGATGAAAATCAAAGTGGTAACAATTAAGGTAATAATCAGGGCAACGGTGAGTACAAAGGTCGACCTCGTCATAAGTGCCAGCTCTGTGGTAAATTAGGCCACTTGGTTGATAAGTGTTGGCATAGGTTTGATCAGGACTTCAAAGGGGTGGGAGCGTCTTGATCTAAAAACAATAGTGATATAGAAGCCAATGTGTGTAAATTCACTCCTAAGTTTACTGACCCATGTTATAATCCATTTGTTAGTTCTTCTACGAGGACAAAGGTCTTTGTTGGGGATAATACTCATTATACTGCCCATGTCAATTCCTTTATTGCTAAAAGGTGTTCTCTTGCTCTTGAATCGTTGGTTTCCTTACTCAGAAGCCACACATCATGTGACTTATGAACAGTACTGCTCCAAAGGGTCAACATTATACAAGTAATGGTAAGGTGATTCTGGGTGAAGCTTTTACTCTTGATATCTCGTATATAAGAAAAGTTATTCCTGCTGCTCATAATTTGGATCTTGATCATGTGCTTTGTGTTCCTCATATTACTCAAAATTTATTTTATATGTCTAATTTATTTTCTGTGTCTAGGTTTACTCATGACATAATGTTTATCTTGAGTTTCATTCAACTAAATGTTTTGGGAATGATGAAACCACTGGGAATGTTCAATTGGAAGGTAAAATGGTGGATGGGTTTTACTCATTGAACCTTCTATTGTTCATCACAGTTCAATACATCATGTCACTACATCGTTATCATCTCTTGATAATCAAAACATCAATGGTGTCAACAACTACTGGTTGTGACAGCTGTGCCTGGGGTATCTTGCATCAAACACCGTGCATAACATTCTAAAAACACATGTTAATAAGAATGTATATACTACATATGCTACATGTAAATTTGGAAATAGTTGTTGCTTACCATTTTCTAGGTCTACTTCAGTTTACAATCATATGTTTGAGCTAGTTGAGTTAGATGTATGGGGACCTGCACCAATTAAGTCGGTTGGTAGTACTATGTTTCATTTGATGATCTGTACAACAGAAACTGTTGCAATTACTAGTTGAAAAATAAATATGACGTTACTCAAGCATTTAACATGTTTTATGTTATGGTTAAAAATCAATTTCAATGTAATTTGTTAGCGTTGCAAACAGACGGGTGGTGAATTTTGCGTGCTAGGTGCCCAGCTTGCAATTGCATGGGTGCAACACAGGGTTACGTGCCCTCATGCCTCTCAACAAAATGGTGTGGTTGAGAGAAGACACAACATTGAGATGGAGATTGATGGGTGCATCTCAACTTCATCATAATAATACTCCAATGGATATAGTATTTCAAATTTCCATAACTCTAGCCAAAACTTTTCCTTTCAATTGAAGCCTTCCTTTTGCTTTTGTGATAACAATTTAGGGTCAATGCTGTGGTTAAAATTTACGGTAAACTATATAGTTAGTTGTTAAGTTATTAGTACAGTTATATTTTGATTATTTAACTATTTTTAAAAATTATATCTAACGTTATATTTTAGTTTTATTTTGATTATTCAATATAAAAAATTAATTGAATTGTTGTTGTGATATTCTTTTACTTTTTTTAATAATAATGTGAAATTACCTTATAGTGACATGTTAGTATCACCATTAATTTTTTAATGACCAAAATAAAATTAAAACGTAAAATTAGGTAACAAAATCACATGAAAATTTGGATGACTAAATGTATAGTTTTCTCTAAAATTCCCTTGATTTTCCATATATCAATTTTATTATTTTAATAAAGATTTAAAAATATGTGTAGACATAGTAGTAAATTTTAATGTATTTAAAAGGGATCCAAGCACAATTCATAACAAGAAATTTTAAAGTTTTTTTAGACTTAATTCTTCATGGTTATTGAAAAGTATTTTTTTTAAATGCTATTGAAAATATTGTGAAAAAAAATTATAAACCGTTAATTTAAATATTTGTTGTTACTCATTTAAAAGTTATATTTATTTAAAAATATACGTTTGAAAGTATAATTAATTGAAGAATAAATAAGATGTTTCAATAATTTTATAATAAAAATACTTTTAAAAAATCAGGGTACATTTGATTCTAAAAAATATTTTTTTGTTTTTGTTTTCATAAAATAGTTTTCATTTTCCATTTTCTCAAAATTAGAAAGCTATCTTTGGTTAATATAAATAAAAACTTGAATTCATAAATAAAAATAATAAAAATATATTTGATATATACTTTTTTAAAATAGAAAAGAACAAATAATTATTAAATAATTAAATTAAATTGTTAAAAATTATTACATAAATTTAACATATGAGTTATGTAAATATAAAATAATAAAGTTGATAATAAATTTCAGTAAAAATATTTTAATTTATA